TGTAATGTAATGTAATGTAATGTAATGTAATGTAATGTAATGTAATGTAATGTAATGTAATGTAATGTAATGTAATGTAATGTAATGTAATGTAATGTAATGTAATGTAATGTAATGTATGTAATGTAATGTAATGTAATGTATGTATGTATGTATGTATGTATGTATGTAATGTATGTATGTATGTATGTATGTATGTATGTATGTATGTATGTATGTATGTATGTATGTATGTATGTATGTATGTATGTATGTATGTTATGTATGTATGTATGTATGTATGTATGTATGTATGTATGTATGTATGTATGTATGTATGTATGTATGTATGTATGTATGTATGTATGTATGTATGTATGTATGTATGTATGTATGTATGTATGTATGTATGTATGTATGTATGTATGTATGTATGTATGTATGTATGTATGTATGTATGTATGTATGTATGTATGTATGTATGTATGTATGTATGTATGTATGTATGTATGTATGTATGTATGTATGTATGTATGTATGTATGTATGTAATGTATGTAAGGAATGTAATGAATGTAATGTATGAAATGAATGCAATGGATGAATGTATGAAAGACGTCAAAAAACATGGAGTTTGTCCAGATTTTTGGCAAAAGGATGTAGGAAGCCCAAGCCAGCAAAAAAGCCGGCAGGGGGAATCGAGCCTGGGACCCCTCCCCGAAGACTACGTTTAGTGGAACGTCATCAAATTGCTGCGCGGTACGCGGGGGAGGGGGAGGGGGGGGGTGGCGACCGAAAAACCATGCGTATTTGACGTGTCCCGGGGGGGGACTAAGGGGGGGGTTATCCTCTATCCTCTCTTAGGTATCCAATAGTCCTCTCTTAGGTATCCGACACGCCGAGCAATGTCGGCGGATTTAACATGTCACATTCCTGGATTCATGAAGGGCTTCTGCTTGGCACCCCTCCGCACGTTCACAACCCAGTCGCGTCAACCTCGGGCAAGGAAAACAATCATGAGTTGCTGCTGACAGGGTCAACAAAGTCTGACGGAAGTGACTTGCACTGTGCGCAGAGCACATTTATTTGAGACATGCCGTAAAATCAGCTGGGTCACACAAATCACACATTGGTGGCCAGTCATGCCAGTCAATGCAGCTTTGTGCCGACCTGTCTCAGACCCCGAAGCGCAAAGGGGCCTCGCAGCACTTGCGGCGCCCCTTTCCAGGTCTGCTATCTTGCACAAACGCATGTTCTTGCCGCCAGGGCAAGATCAAGAACAGGTTTGAAGGCAAGAGCAAGTCCGTCGGGGTCTTACCCAGCAAGCACGCTCTGTTCTTTTTTTGACTCCTGGGGATTTGTGTGTTTGCATAGTGCGGCAATATGTGAGTGGCAGCATGACATGGAATTGGCCTCAGAAAACCAGTGGGCCACTTGGTTGAAGCTTGTTGGATTGTTGACAGAGGAACTGGGCGTGCTTCCAAAGAGAATCTTGCAGCAGCATTGCAGGCTAAGTTGCCTAAGTTGCCTAAGTTGCCTAAGTTGCCTAAGTTGCCTAAGTTGCCTAAGTTGCCTAAACTGCCTAATGAGTTGCCTTGCGGATATCCAGACGTGCAGCCTGAGGTGGCGCCCAACAGGCCGGGGGACGCATTGTGAGCAGAGCTTTGGCAAGTTGCGCGGACATCTACACGCATGATGCATAGCTTTGACCCCATTCAATAGTCCACGTGCAGACTGCCTTTTCGACCAGTAGAAAGGCAAGGTTCATGATGCGTATACAAAGTGGCGCCTTTGTGTTTCAAGAGTGCGATTTGTGTTGGCAGTTCCATAGAGCAGGATGCTGGCTGAGGGCATCACAGAGAGAATGTTTTGACCCCAATTTGCAAGTGCCAATCTGCCAGTGTATGCACTTGGCTTGGGATCTTGCGTTTGTCGTCGCTTGCGGGAGTTTGCATGAACGACAAGGCAAATCAATGTGGGGGGCGTGCGCTTTTGCGTCGTTCGACGCACAGAAGGGTCCAGCCCTGCTGAACTTGGGGACAGGTGAGCAACTGAGCCAGAGCCGGAACGCTTGCGGATAGGGAGGGCAAAAGATGCCACAAACCTCAGCCTTTGTGCGAGAGGCTTGAAGCTTGAGGATCTGCAATTGTTTGACATGAAATCCTTCATGACATGAAATCCTCCAAGTTAGTGAGTGGCTAGCTGTTTATGGCAGTTGCAGGATCCACCAACTTATCATATCCTTTCCAACGCAGGTAGGCGTGCTGAATAGGCCATGTAGAGACAGCTGGCTGAGCCAGCTGCCCTCTGCCAGATGGAGTGCCAGGCGGCTTTCATACGTTTCAGGAATCGGAGAATGTAGTCAGTAGCTTTCATCCTGCGCAAATAGGACGCATGACTGGATCAAAAACAGGCTGGCGTGTTTGCCTGAAATACTGACGTAATGCAAGAACGGTAGAGTTTGGACCTATCGACCACATGTATGAAACATGTGTAGATTAACGGAAGATCACTTGCATTCGGGACATTGGTATGGCACCAGATCAGAAAACAATTTACAGCAAACACGTGACATCTGCATTGCTGCTCAAACCTGCGACCTGGCAGGCAGAGTTCCAATTACACCAAGCCATCACAGTGCTACATCATACAGTGCCACACACTCCACGCGCAAAGGGACTGAAGGTGTGGCCTTGCCAAACGTGCTGCCTTTGGCGGGTTGCCAATCATGGGCCGATGTGGCGCAGCTGTGCCGTGCAGGCATGCGCCTTGAAAGCACATGTGGCATGTCCTCTTGTCTCCTTCATGAGAGGGCACGACCTTGCTGCAGTAGGCTGGGCCACATTGACTCCTTGGGGTTCCCATGAACCACCTTGGACGTTGGACCCTAAGAGCAACAGTCGACTTGCCAGGGGGCGGCTGCATGGTCGTTGCCCGGTGCCTTGGGATGCCTCGGACCGTCAGTCAGGTCACGACCATGCATGATGTTCTATTTGCACACAATCGATGTTCCTATTGACCTCAAGTCGATCTGGAATTACTCAGTCAGGCAATGGTAGTTTGCTTGTGCTTCCCGAAGCGTTTGATGCTCGGGGTTTTGCTTCTCAGTACTCAGGCTGGGGGAGCAAACGCCGTCTTGGTGGGAGCAAGAGGAGGATCGCGCTTGCCTCAGCGCTTGCAGCGGGAAATGGCCGGCGTATTGCAATGAAGGTAGCATTGTTCTGGCCGTAGGGCAACCCAGCGAGTTTCAGCCGCGGGATGTCCACAATACATAGAACGACATGTACTCCCTAATCATTGTCCCATTGAGAAGTCCCTGCCCGCCTGAGCAGAGCAGTTAGTCTCAGTTTGGCACAATCTTGCGCCGCGTACAATGCCGCAGGCTGGTACCTTGCAGACAGATCTCGAGGCAAGAGAAGCATCGATCGCTTGCAGCTGTTTGTTTGAGCATCGATCGCAGACACTCGAAGCGTCCGCGTGCTTCGATCGCATTTGCACTCTACCACTCTAGCAACATGAGAGCCGCTACTCAGCTACTCGTACGCGCGCTGCTCGGAAAGGTGTTCGTGTCCCCCGCTTCTTGGACTGCGAGGGCAGCTTCTGGGCCTGGTGCACAGAGGTCCAGGGAATCTCTGCGCGGTACGTGTTCTGCTTCGTTTGCCCTTGAAATTTGCAAGGCTCTTGCTGGTCTCCAACTGAATGATGTCACTGGTGTCGGGTTGCTCATTTTCCATCCTGCTTCTGTTGTTTTCGGGGTTGCATTGATCGCAATGGCAAAGCTGCTTGCCCTTGGTCCTTTGTTTTGGTTGTTCTGCTTCAACCTGTTGGCCATTCCAATCATTGGCTTGGCTGGGCTTGATCGGCATCTTTGTCTATGTCCCCCTCTCCTTTTCTTTCTTCTTTTTCTCATTCGTGATTTCTTCCTTTCATCCTTTGTCCCAGTTTTTCTTTTCTGCCTTTCTTCCTTTCTTGCGTCTCTTTTTCTTTTCTTCCTTGCTTCCTTTCTTTCTTTGTTCCTTCCTCTATTCCTTTTCTCCATTCCGTCCTCTTTTTTTTCCCGATCTACATGTTTTCCTTCTTTCTTTAGTACTTTATTTATTGCCTATTTGTCTATCTATCATTCTATCTATCTATCCAAATCTGTCCATCTGTCCATCTGTCCATCTAACCATCCATTGGTCTAGGCATCCATCCAGTTTTCCGTCCATCTTTCCTTTTACCAGTGATTGCCCCTTGCTTCATGTTGTGAGTCTCCAGGGATTGGGAAGTTCAGACGTGTTGCCTCGGCCTTTGGTTTGGTCCCTGAATCTCATTCATCTGTTTTAGTTCGCATTGGCATGGCCCATGCGATGGCGAGTGTCAGAGTGCAGCCAAGAGATAGCATGCCTTTGAATTTTGCGTTTTTGAAGCTGCGGCGTCGCACTGTCTTGGAGCCCATTCGCTGGGACACAAAGACTACTACGTGTTGTGTCGTAATACTGCGTTTGAAGCTTTGCTTTTGCGCTTTTCATAACGGTGGCACAGAGGCAGCATGCAACAGCTCAAATTGGACCTACAGAGGGTGGGCATTCGCCAGCTGCATCCATTTGTCGGGTTTTTAGCTCATGCTGTGCGCTTCTTCTGAGCTGCCTCAACAGAGCACGCAGCTCTTTGCTTACAAATGCTTATAAGGACCCTGCGTGGTCACAGTTCCGGCACATCCTGCAGCAGGACCCGCCAGGCAACCGTGAAGGGGGCAGGTAGTTGATGACTCGGTCAAACAGCCGCTTGCTTGCAGGTCCGCATCACAAACGGTGGTGCACTGGTCACAATTCAGAAAGTGTAATCTTCCGCCGTTGAAGGTGCCAGCCAATCGTGACTTAAGGCGTTGGACATTGCTCATCAGAAGGACAAAATGCGTTGCAACTGCCAAAGGTACTTTGCACAAGGCGATAATGTCAATGAGCATCATGCCTTTCACGTGTTGCTTCAAGAAGGGAAGCTGCGGAAAGAAAGAAAAAACACTTTGAATGCAAAGGTGTT